GGTGTAGAGAACTTACTAGTTAAGGACAAGGTCATATCTGTCATCTGGAAAATGCTGCCGGTGAACGGAGTGAATCCCAACTTGTGGACGTCGCTCCTATAGATCGAGGCCGAATACATGGCGCACTGTGTGAAAATTAGAAGTGCAATTTTTCGCTATTTCGCTATTTTTTTTACCAAGGATTCTCTCGAGAATGTGCCTTCCCCAGCTTTTCGAAGTTATTTCGACTATCTTCATATATAGTTGTTTGTGTGTGCGTCTGTCTGACCACCCAAAAACTGAAGACTACATAAAACTGCTTCTGTAGGACGGATTCTAACTGGGATTGCTATAGGATGAGCCAATTTTCAGGGAGCTTAAGCAAGGTAACCTAAGCTATGCCCTCAATAGGCGGGGCGTGTACCGAAGCGAACTATGTCGAGGATGAGCATTCTCAAAACCGCATCCAAAGCAACCTGAGGCTGGGAGATATCAGCGATGGTCAGCAACGGGCTGCCGATTGAAGTAGGGAGACACGCGGAGGGGTCAGTGAGGTGTGCTTGATGACTGCCTTCTAGGGGGGGTATATACAAGAAGTGAAACGGTAAAGTGCGGTAATTCTCAAAACAATATTTTTTTCGACCATTCGACCCGACTGGCCCTCCCTCACATGGAAAACTTCTCACAGGGACCCACTTCACACGCGGAAGGAGGATCGGCCGGCGAAGCCGGCCGATCCGACTGGTCATCAGAAAAATTGGCACTTTTGAACTGTTCCCAATCTCCCGAAATCAGGCCAGTTTTTACTACGAAAGCAGATTTGGCTAAAAATTTGTTCCCAGGAAGCCTGTTACACAAGCTTTCATCGAATTTCAGGGTAAAGGGGTGCCAAATGGTGCCAGCATCAAAAGTGATGTCCTATTCGTGATCAGGGCTCCGAATTACCCCTGTAGTCAAAGTTTCCAGGGGAAAAGTTCTTTTGGCGTCTGGGGTAGGAATGGTTCTATAGTGCCAAAAAAAAGTGCATCACGATAAGAAATAATATTGCAGACTACGGTAGTAATCTCCACGTGTGGATGTACAATTTGTCGAATGTCGACACAGGTGCAAGGCGTATTTGGACAGTGCTGGACAAGGAGATTGAGCTCTACGAGCACACAGAGTTCACCGGAGCAGCTGATTCGTGGTGAGCAGATTCTACTTGTTCCAGGTTTTGTTTTATTGGAGCTAGTGCTCACATATGTCGTCGTCGCCATTTTCATTATCTAGCCATGCCTATTGCAGGTTGCGCACTTACCTCGCCTTTACCAAGCAGTCCGGTTTGCTCATCACTCGAGACAATTTCGTGTACATTCTAAGGAATGTATTCCTGTCCCAGCCACAGTTCGGCAAATATCGGCGGTGAAGACTGTTTTTGGAACGGTTTCTTGGTTCACTGTTAAACGTCACAAAGCCTTGCACTTCAGTGATGTAGTTTTCGACTCGAGCGGATCATTGTTGGATGCCTCACGGGTACCAATCCAGCTTCGTCATGTCGGATTTGCAAATCAAAGTCGAGCGATGCATCTGTTCAGAAGACTGGCTGCAACCAGTCAATTACAGACTGGTGTTTACGCGGACTTCTTTCAGGTGCGTTACTAATGAATGTCAGACATCTCTATTCGAAACCTTCGCTTCATATTCTCTAGCAATTGTGGAAAAGCTTAGTCTATTTCGCTCCAAATGTTACTGTTCGCTGGATCAGGTTCTGAAAAAGTCCATCTCAAACAAAATAGGATGCGGAACCAAGATGAGAAGGCGGTCTTTCTTGTTCACGTGTTGAGACAGAAAACCAAAACTGTCCAAATCGAGAAATTCTAAGTATCTATTCCCGAAGGAGGCCTGGTTTCTCCCCACAGCCTTGGAGGATTGGTTCAGGGAGGGTATGCTCGGGATGATTCTGGAATTGAAATGCGTAAACTTCGTACGCTTCGCTAGCACCACATTTCTGTTATATCTAAGTAATAACAACGCCCCTGTAATGGAGCTGATCCCACCTTGGGCCCTAAACCCTTTCTCAGGTCGATATTAACAGAGGTGTCCTCGCACCGGACGGGTGAGTTCCTCACGGAAGCTACGTGAATCGTTCTGTACGTAGCTGTGCATTCTTATAGAACCTTGTGTAGAAAATCAAAAGAATGCAGAGTTGGAGAGTAATTTACGCGGCTCCCGGGAAGAGTCTGTTCTCTTGGACCACAACTCTTTCCTAGTAGTCGACCAGAGGAAGGGCCCAGGGCTCGTAACATAAAATCTCCATCAGTTTCGTTGCGTAAGAAAAAATCCGTTTTTGCGTTTTTTGTGCAACGAAACTTTTCGGGAAAGTGGCAGAGAAATCGAGGCACAAGGAATCCAAAGTGGATCACAAGACCTCATTGTTTTTATATCAACGTCCTATAACGCTGAGCAGATTGCCCACTGCCATCTTGGAGCCAGATTTTGGTACCTTTCTCTGAGAAGGAAACCAAAATCTGAAAGGGAAAACTAGCAAGAATCTTTTTCATCCGATATTTTTCCAGTTCGCAGAGCAGTACAACGCCGTTCTTCCTGGCACGCTGTCGTCAATCGCCTACGCTGGTGTTGCTGTAGTCGTCGTATCGCTTCTGCTGATTCCAGAGCCGGTGGCAAGCCTTTGGGTTAGCCTTCTTTTTGTTGATTCTCTGTTTCTTTCTACACAAGTGCATAAGAAGAGCGTCCATCATTTTTCATTAGAGGAGCGTCCATTATTTTTATTAGGAAAACAAAGATTCCGCGGAAAATTGGGGAATATGTCGCAGAGTTTGCCTGATATCGGCGAACAACAAACTTATAATTATTGGCAACAATTAGTTTGAGGTCTGGTGCAAGACGGGTGTACTTAACACTCACCCAAAGAAAAAAGAGGCGTGTACTCGTGAGATTGATAAGCACATGCTGACCGGCTTATCTCCTCGAAGCAGCGTATGCGATCAGGTACCGTTTCCTTTTCCTTCAATAGCAGGTAGCTGGTGGGCAAAGGCAGCGACTACACCATTTCCGTGGTCGTGCAAGAGCGAGTGGGAAGCCGACGATGTCATCGTTCCTTCCATCAGCCCTATCCAATTTATTGACTCTGCACGCAACTCTACTAATGTTAAACTGAGAATCTGCCAAAGACAAAGACAGAAAGGTTGTTAAAAGGAAATGAGCTGTGATCAGTTGCGGCGACCATACGGCTACAACACCACTTGCCGGGTGATCTCGTCCAATCATATCCTTTGACCGTCCCCTGGTCGTACAACTGCGCTTGCTAGTGGGTTTTGTTTAGGAAAATTGCGACCATTTTTTCTGTCTTTGTCCGCCACTGATTTCCTGGCATTTTGACATCGCTTTTTGAGCACCACTACCCAGAGTAGTCGCGGGCTTCATCTTTCCAGCAGGGCACGCCATCGTTGTGATCATCACAACAGGGGGTCGTATTTGACCTCGAGGGAGGGGGGGGGGTCGTAAGCGCGGGGACCTTTCTGAAGTGAGGGTGCAGCGATACCTAGATGTCATTCAGCTTCAATGATGAAAGACTTATCCATGTGATGAACCCTGAAGAGACCCACACAAGACAGAAGCAACATGCCAGCGCAGAAGTGGGAACGGGCGATGACAGGAAATACGATGGTCGCCCACAACGACGTCATGAATTAATAAAAAAAGATAAAGGATAAAGTCTCCGCCGTTGATCAACCCCTTTGTGGGATGCGGCACGCATTCTACTTCCATTCAGAATCGTAGTGGCTTATTGAATGCGATGTGGCCTATACAATGACTTGCGGTGGAGAGCCGTGTACAAGTCAGTGTTTTATCCTCCCAGACGAATCTGGTACCATTTCACTGTCCACGGAGGGTAGAAGGCTTAGTTGGCGTGGGCGAGAGTCGACCCGGGATTTGAACCCGGCATCGCGCGAGTGGTAAGCGCGCCACTTGTCACTACACCACCTCCGCGCCAATAAATATCCGCCATGAATAAATAAACAGATGAAAGTACACCTCCGGACCTTTCTGTCTCAGGGAGCACATCTACTTGCACCTAGGAAGCCCTTTCTAGAAGTTGCACCTTCCCAATAGCTAAAGCGCTATGCATGGCGCATTGCAGAGGTGATGCCAATTGGCGCCCAATGAACTATTTCCTGATATCCTTGGCAAAAACATGCGATTTTTCGAATAGCAGGCCTAGGGATAAAATGAAAGTTTGCTGGAAAGTAGAAAGCTTCATGCTTCCGGCACAGTTTTTTTTTACGAAAGGCCGTGTATGAAGCTTGCCATGGATGTCCAAAGCGTAGCGACTTGTGGTTGGCCCCCCATGATCACGCAAGGATCACAACGGAGAAAAATTCCTAAAAAGGATATTTTTGGAATCGCTCAAAATCAGGTAACAAGTGCCAACCTAGTTCCCCTACCTGCTTTCCCCTCTCCGAAAGCTTCACTCTCAAAAAGTTATGGGTGTTTACCCGAGGGGTAATCGATTCCAAAAATCTTTGAGAGTTTTTGAGTGTTTGGCTTGAAATTGCTCCAGGTCGTAAAATAGCGCGCTCCAATACGTTTGTATTAGCGCATGACCGCGAACAACTAATATTCAAATGTTATTTACTAGTTTTGGCTTCTATGTCCCATGGTGAGTTTTTTTCTTGTCGTTCGTTTCTAATGATTTGTTAATTTTCTTTTAGTGTTTCTTATTAGTTTTCTGGTTTGTGTTCTGGTTTTAGGCGCTATCGAACTATTCCTACCCCAGTTTGCCGGAATCAGGCTGCTTTTTTGTCGACTTTTTTTCTAGAAGGGCAGATTCGGCTGAAAATTTGCTTATAGTGGTACTTCGACCTCCTGAACACTTCCGCTTCCCCGAAACTCGTCGATTTTGATGATTCAGGGTACTTTGGCGCCAAATACCCTAAATCACCAAAATCGATGAAAACTTGTATACGGGGGTTATTTGACATCCTGATTACGAATATGATATTTATTCTTGGCGCCAGCGCTAACGTAGGACACTATGGTCACCTGCGCCTTTGCTAAGACTGAGCCTGGCCTGAGGGAAATCTTTCCTTTTTCCCAGTTTCAGCCTCAGCAGAGCGCTAAATAGCTTTGGTATGGAGAAATGATGTCATACTGGTGATCAGGACATCGAACATCTATAGATAAAGTTTCAGCATAAATTTTTTTGAGTTTCTGGCGTAGGAACAGTTCAATAGTGCCTAGTTCTCTTTATTTTCATTTTCTTCTTCCCTTTTGCGCTTCATTTCATTTGAACCTTCGTGACCGGGGGGGGGGTCGTATGAAGACCCTTATTTGGGGGGGGTCGTATTTAGCGGGAAATGATCACAACGCGATGGCTGTGCCCTGCTTTCAAGACAAACCTTATGTATTGTGAAAAGTTGCGTCCAGTCACAGATCTACACAGGGGGAGGGGGAGGGGGGCAAAAAAAAGTCACTTTGACCGAGTCACATATCAGCAAAGTTTTCGCAGCCCAGACAGAGGACGTGGATACGAGTACCAGGGCGGAAGATACCCAAGATGTTCCTCGATAAGCAGGAGCTGGCTCTCGCCCATCACCTGTACACCAAAATATGAAGTCATCTCCAGTCGCAGCCTGACTGGAGAAGACCTTTGGAATTCATGTCACCTCCAAACAGCTGCGAAACTTCTAGTATGGAGTCACCCATGGATAGCTACCTGGAGACCAGTACTCTCGATCTGGATGACCTCCAACATCGAGCAGCTCCGACAACGTCGCCACGGTCTAGGACATCATCTTCACCGCAGTCGCCAAGGCGCGGGTTGATGGTATGGACCGGACGTACCTGGAATGGAAGACCTATTTTCTTCGTGGGCCCCGGACTGAAGGTGAGCGCTGGCGGTTACATCGAGCAACTCGAGAAGAATATCCTCCCCACATGTCGTCGCCCGTACCTTCTTGGAAACTTTGTACTGCTACAGGATTGGGTGACACCACATGAAATTGAAGGGCGTTGGAAAAACTCTCGCCTACTTGGAATGGAAGGGCGTTGAGTTCCTGAAGAAGATGGAATATCAAAGCGAGGTCACCTGACCTAAACCCCATCAATTACCTGGTTCGGGCGGAGTTCAATAGGGTGGTCTACGGTGGCGGAGAAATCGACTATCTCGCTGATCTCAGGCACCACATCGCGGTCGCGTGCCAGAATCTCTCGATGGCGCTCGTCCAGAAGGCTGTGGCGGAGTGTCATGATAGTATTTAATATGCTCTTCAATATGGTGGAAAAATGTCCGATCAGAATTTATAAAGTGTAACTTATAGCGCCTCGAAAGTCAATGAAGAAAAGTGACTTTTTCCCCCCCCCTGTAGTTGCTGAATGAATCTCCAGGGTAGAAGAAGAAAAAAAGTATGGAGAACACCCAAAGTAAGGCGTGGCAGCCCCTCCAGTAAGGCGTGGCAGCCCCTTCCAAACTAATTCTCCGGACCTGCTCGTTTTATCCCAGCAGAGGGATATACTGCCGCCGCTGGCTCAGTAAATGTTTCTTCGCGTCTTCCGATTCTGAAACTAAAAAAAAACGAAAAAAACGACGTGAAAACTGAACTTACGACAAAAAAGCTTTTGAGTTTCGGTGGGCCGAAAGA